AGAGTAAATAAATAAAATCTTACAAAAAAAAAAAAAAAAAGAAAGAAAGAAAGAAAGAAAGAGAGAGAGAGAGAGAGAGAGAGAGAGAGAGAGAGAGAGAAAGAAAGAAAGAAAGAAAGAAAGAAAGAAAGAAAGAAAGAAAGAAAGAAAGAAAATCTCTACAAAGTTTCTACCTTCAGATTGGTTTGCAAATGCTTTGCTTCACTACAGAAAAATTTAGCAATGGATATTGTAAATAGTGTACTATGAGTGTGGCTTATGTAAGAAGGACAATGCTAAACTCCAACAGATCATATTCAAATAAAGGCTTTAGTACTATATCAAAAAATTAATGGATATTCATATATATGTTATAAAGGTAAAATAAAATGTCTCACATGTATTTTTTAATGAACCCTCATGATCACCTTTTAAAAATGTAATCACTTGGGCAGCCTGGTTTAGCGGTTTAGCACTGCCTTCAGCCTAGGGCGTGATCCTGGAGACCTGGAATCGAGTCTCACTTCGGGCACTTTGCATGGAGCCTGCTTCTCCCTCTGCCTACGTCTCTGCCTCTCTCTCTGTCTCTCTCATGAATAAATAAATAAAATCTTTAAAAAAAAAAGTAATCACTTATAAATCAAATAAGCAGCATGTTTGGCATTATTATATTATATTATATATGTTATATATATTAATTATATTATATATATTATATATATAATATTTCTTTTTTTTAAGATTTTATTTACTTATTTGAGAAAGAGCATGTGCATGCATGCATGAGCAGGGGAGAGGGAAGGGTAGAAGAGAAGGGGCAGAGAGAAAATCTCAAGCAGATTTCACACTCAGCAAGGAGCCCCACACCAGGCTCAATCTCAGAACCCCAAGCTCATGACCTGAACCAAGCCAAGAGTTGGATGCTCAATGGACTGAGTCACCCAGGTGCACATAATTTTATAAAGTACATTTCTAAAAGAAATGTTAAATAAAACTATAAATGTACATATTCTAAATATCAATATCCATTGTCAAATTGCCTGCCAAGGTAATTTTTATCAATTTACATTCCTACCAGAACACAAGGTACATGTCTTCAAACTCCTCTATACTGACTAGTATCATTCTAAAATTTTTGCCCCTATAAGTAAAGAGTACCTTATTATTTTATAATTTGCAATTTTCTGATTGTAAAATAGAGCATTTTTATATATGTGTATATAATCAAGAAATACAAAAATAGTTCAGCAATAGGAAATCTTTACTATAAATTCTTATAGAATCTTCTATAAATTCTATGGAAGAAAAAATAATTGAATAATGCTTGAATAATGCTGAATAAATATAGGATCCAAAAGCCTCTCATGCTTAAAATATATACAACATTCATAGATATAATACACAGAGCTAGGAATAGAAAAAATATATAGGCATATGTAGTGTAAAACAGCTGAAAATGTACTGTGATATCAGAAAGAAAAAAATACATCAATTTTTCAACACAGATAGGGAAATTGTGGTTGATAAAGTAGAAATGTAAATAAGAAAAGGTAAGAGGGAACATAAATACTGGAGAGGTCACTACATTCAGCAAATATTTTGCCTTTTTCGCATAGGTACACAGGAAACTACATCTCCCAGCCTCCCTTGCAGTGAAGTAACTGAATTCTGGCCAATCAGAAGTGACAGATTTCACAAATAGTACTTCCAGGATAGTCCATTAAAAATGTCCTGAGAGATCTCCATCTATTTTTTCTTTGTGTGTGCGTGTATGTGTGTGTGTGTGTGTGTGTGTGTGTGTTGTTTGTCCTTCTCTATCTCCTCCCTCTCTTTCTCACTGGCTGGTTTCAGAGGATTCAGCACAGCATTTCAAGGCAATGGTGAGTCCTAAGAGATGATGCAGCCAACAGATGAATACGCCTGCATATCTGAATGACAACATGCAGGAGAAGCCCCAGATAACCTGGGCACCTGGGTGGCTCAGTGGTTGGGTATCTGCCTTTCACTCGGGTCATGATCCTAGGGTCCTGGGATGAAGTCCTGCCTTGGGCTCCCTGCAGGAAGCCTGCTTCTCCCTCTGCCCGACACGTGTCTCTGCCTCTCTGTCTCTCATGAATAAATAAATAAAATCTAAAAAAAAAAAAAAAAAAAAAAGAAGCCCCAGATAACCTCACATTTGACTGTGACATGTACAAGGAACAATCTTTATTGTTTTGTGGTAATTTGTTACAGCAGCAATAAAAACTTCATATAGAAAGTAGTCCGCTACAACCTTTCTGGAAGGGAATTAACAAAATTACATAGGCACTCACTCAGCAATCCCTCACCCAAGACTTGATCTTGAAAATACAGCCCTGGGACGTCTAGGTGGCTCAGTGGTTAAGCATCTGCCTTAGGTTCAGGGCATGATCCTGGAGCCCCAGGATAGAGTCCCACATTGGGGTCCCTGCATGGAGCCAGCTTCTCCCTCTGTCAATGTCTTTGCGCCTCTCTCTCTGTCTTTCTCTCTCTCTCTCTCTCACCCCCCCCCGTGTCTCTCATGAATAAATAAATAAACTTAAAAAAAAAGAAAATACAGCCTCAACAATGTGAAAATATATACATACAAGTTTATTTACTAAAGCACTGATTCTAATCGTAAAATAGCGTAAACATCCTAAAAGTCCACACGTCAAAGAAAAATCCATTCTTCAAAGAAAATGTTACCATAACATTCACATAATGGAGTATTTTGCAGCTGTTAAAAAAATGAAGATCTCCATGACTAATATGAAGTGTATATATAGTTAAGTGAAAAAAGCAAAATGCAAAGAGTATCTACAAGAAGATACAAGAAACTACAGATATGTCAGCTCGTTTGTACAAAAGAAACATAAAAGGGACAAACCTGAAAATAAACAGATTGGTAATTTACAAGAGGGTAAGAAAGGGGTAGAAAGACCTTAGGGGAGATCCCTGGGTGGCTCAGCGGTTTAGCGCCGCCTTTGGCCCAGGATGCGGTCCTGGAGTCCTGGGATCAACTCCCACATTGGGCTCCTGGCATGGAGTCTGCCTCCCTCTCTCTCTCTCTCTCTCTCTCTCTCTATGTCTCTCATGAATAAACAAATAAAATCTTTAAAAAAAAAGAAAAAAAGAAAAATCTTAGGGAACACAAATCAGATAGTGGGGATGAAGAGAGACTAACACAATTCTTTTTTTTTAGACATATTTTTCTAAGCTCCATTCTTAAAAGCATAGTAATGTTTCAGAAAAATTAATAAATAAATAATTAAAATCAACCAGGATGTGGTAGGAACCCAAAACAGAATACAAGTAGTAACAAATGAACCTTAAAGAACTAACCTAAGTAACTTTGGAAAAGTACTTTGACTGAATACTGTAAGACTAAAGACAAAAAGACCCATATATAAATAATGTAATCCAGTTAATAAATTTGTTTCTCACAGAGGAATAGCTTGGAAATTCTGAAATTACTTTGTGTGTATACTAAAACTGAGCAAATAAGTAAATACATTGTTTCTCATTGTCAGAAAAAGAAACTACTAAGTAAAGGAGAAAGGCTAAGAAAAACCCTGTGGAGTAGGACTAGAATCAAGATATTAAAATAAACTGACAGGGCAGCCCCAGTGGCTTAGCGGTTTAGCACCGCCTTCAGCCTGGGGCGTGATCCTGGGGACCTGGGATTGAGTCCCACGTGGGGCTCCCTGCATGGAGCCTGCTTCTCCCTCTCCTGTGTCTCTGCCTCTTTATCTCTCTGTGTCTCTCTCATGAATAAATAAATAAAATCTTTTAAAAACAAATAAAAAATAACTTTTGCAGACAAGTCCCATTGGGCCAAAAAGGATCCTAAAATTAGTATGCAAAAGTTTCAGAAGAAATTAAAGTCTCAAAGCAAGATATTTATTAATTGCAATAGAAAAATAGTAACTTTACAATGGAGAAACCAAAGAGATACCACCTTTACCAAGTGATCAAAGTTATCATCAATAATAAGACATATCAATATTATGAATCCTTTGGTATGCTGCAGTGAGCGGAACATAAGAGTATTCCTGTGGTACTCTTTCCAAAAATGCATTACTTCAATTTAATCATGAGAAAACATCAGATAAACCCAAACTAGGTGTAAGCAGATGTAATAAGACATTAAATCACAGTGAAGCATATCTGAAGACTCTGGGAGAGATTTCTCCAGGACAATAAAATCAATAGATTACCTAATGTGCCTGAATGTCCTAAGAGATTTAGACAATTAATGGGAGTTGGGAATTGAGTTATTAATATGTATATAGAAAACTAAGGAAAAAAAACAGACAACCCCCCTCAAAACTATTAACTCCAGGAAAAATAAAAAATCATATAGAAAAAGTAATCTTGGCATATACATAGCACAGCTACAACTAGCACTTAATAGACATAATTTGTAAACACTGAATAGTGTTTCAGTCAAAATTACAACATGAATGAGATGGGCAGATGGGAAGTGTGTGTGTGGGCACACAAGTGCATACATATTTGATTCAGGTTAAGTACTAAATTCTTATTAAGAGATACTAAATGAGGACTAAACCTGAAAAAACAATTATGAAATAGTAACATGAACATATTTGTTATAGAAATGAAGGAAATGTTAAAAAAAAAAGCTGCAATAATAAAGAAAGGTAATCCTTCTAAGGAGAGGGAAATTGGAGAGGAAGACAAGCAACTGCCTTTTTTTAAGAGAATAAGCCTTGTAAAACTACTTGACTCTTTAAACAATGTGGATGCACAACTTTGATAATAACTTTGATAAAAATAAAAACTCTAAATTGTAATCTGGAAATGTACACATTTCTGGCCCTAAAAGGAAAAGAAGAGTTGGAAAAGACTAAGATTCAGGTTATACACAGAAGAATCACAGAGTGTGTAATTTGATAGAAATAGGGAGAAACCCACCCCCGCCAAGCCCAGGGTAGCCTCCTCATGGCCACCTGGCCTGGCACCTTATGACAGCCATCCTTGCCCAGTTGCCTATCACTCACCATCTGACATCTCTTTCTCCACCATCCAGGGTTCCTTCCCTTGCTCCAACAAGGAGATCATGTTGGGCTTAGAAATGGAGAGTCCTGTTTACAGGAGAAGAAAAATGAGAGCAAGAAAGACAAACAGGGAGACAATCAACTTGCTTTCTAGGACTCAGTCCATCTCTTGGTTATTAGGCAAGAAGAGAAATTAGAGGAAAGGCCAGAGAATGGAATGAAGCTTGTATGAAGGATGAAGATGAAACTTCTTCCATAGCACTGGTTCTCAAAATGCTAGAGCAGAAGCACCACCACCTAGGAACTTATTAAAAATGCAAATTCTGGGATGCCTGGGTGGCTCAGCAGTTAAGCATCTGCCTTTGGTTCAGGGCCTGATCCCGGGGTCCCAGGATTGAGTCCCACATCGGGCTTCCTGCATGGAGCCTGCTTCCCTCTGCCTGTGTCTCTGCCTCTCTCTGTGTGTGTCTCATGAATAAATAAATAAAATCTTAAAAAAAATGCAAATTCTTAGGCCCCAACAGAGACTTACTGAATCGGAAACCATAGTGGTTCTCAAACTTTAATAGGCGTCAGAATCATTTGGAGGGCTTTTTAAAACCCAGCCTACTGGGCCTATTCCCAGAGTTTCTGATTCTGTGGGTCTAGAGAATCAGAGGGTCTAGAGACCCCATAATTTGCAATGTAACAAATTCCTATGCTATACTGATGCTATTTCAAACCTCATTCTACAGCAATGGGAACACTGATTTCTAACTCCTTGAAGCTACTTCAAATTATTTCCTGGGAACTGGAAGTAAAAATTCAGCTAAGCACTTAACATGACCTAGATATTCCCAATGGAAGAAGCAAAAATATTCTGGAGGGAAGATTCTGAATTATGGGGGAGACATCCTTACCAAGCCATACCAAGTTCCTGTAGTTCTCCAACATGACGTCTCTGTATAAATCCTTCTGAGATGGATCCAGCCATTCCCATTCCTCTTGAGAAAAATCCAGAGCCACATCTCTGAAGGTCACCAAACCCTGAAATTAAAAAAAAAAAAAAAAAATTCTCATTTGCCAAGTGCTCCCATATGGTCCTAGCAGAAAAGATGAAATTCTGCCAGAGTTCAAAGCTCTGTGTGGCTCAGGGGAAATAATTATTGGGGAGCAAGTACATGCCTAGGTTTGTCAAATATTTTAAGAGAAAAAGAAATACTAGAAAGACTCATCCCTTGAAAATTTCACATTTTTGTGAATAAAAAAAGATATATAAACAGGGAAAAAATTAGCTTATGGCATGAAACATGAGTTTATAACATGAAGGTACATGAGCAAGGCTATTTTATATTACATATATTATGTATCAAGAAATTCTTATGGAGATGATTTCTTTATATTCCCCAAACTGGGATATCAGATGGGTCAGAAAACTGAAGGAAGGCCTTGAATTGGCTTTAACAAAAGGTTATGGTCTGAAACTTAGACATTTAGAAAGAATTTTCATTGAAAGGTTATTTGAAAAATCTGGAAAAAACATTAATGTCAAGAAGTAAGTTTAGGGGCACCTGGGTGGGTCAGTAGGTTGAGCATCTGACTCTTGATTTTGGTTCAGGTCATGATCTCAGGGTCATAGGATCAAGCCCTGAATAGGGCTCTGCGCTCAGTGGGAGTCTACTACTCTCCCTCTCATTCTCCCTATTCTTCTCCCTGCTTGTGTGCTCACTCGCTCGCTCTCTCAAGTAGACAAAATAAAATCTTAAAATTAAATTAAATTAATTAAATTAAATTAAATTAAATAACAGTTTGGCCCACACCACTGAACCATAAGCTGTATGAGGGGAAGGATAACTGTTTTATAAGCTTGTGAATATCAAGTGTCTAGTATAAAACCTGTCACATTGTAAAACAGTAAATATTTGCCACTCCGTGAAAAATAAAAGTAAACTTTTCTGTAATATATCCATAGGAAGGAAGAGTACTCAATGCTTAAAATGGCAGAGTTCCATTTTGCAGAGTATGGTCTCATTTTTATTTTATTTTATTTTATTTTATTTTTTTAAAATTTTTTTATTTATTTATTTACTTATGATAGTCACAGAGAGAGAGAGGCAGAGACACAGGCAGAGGGAGAAGCAGGCTCCATGCACCGGGAGCCCGATGTGGGATTCGATCCCGGGTCTCCAGGATCGTGCCCCGGGCCAAAGACAGGCGCCAAACCGCTGCGCCACCCAGGGATCCCTGGTCTTATTTTTAATTAAAAATCATGAAATATCGTGCAGAGAATGGATCTAGTGCCAAGATCTCAGATGCCAGCCAAAAATCAACCTGCAAATGGGTTCTAAACACAGCAGCTTCAGGCCTGCTATATTAACTCTTTTTTGATCATTGGTCTATTTAGTTTTCTGCTTTTTGAGCTGGTTTTTATATTTTATTTTTACCTAGAAAACAATATTTTGCTTGTGCTTTCTTTCTTCTTTTTTCTTTTAAAGATTTTATTTATTTATTCATGAGAGAGACACAGAGAGAGAAAGAGGCAGAGACACAGGCAGAGGGAGAAGCAGGCTCCATGAAGGGAGCCTGACGTGGGACTCGATCCCGGGTCTCCAGGATCACGCCCTGAGCCAAAGGCAGGCGCTAAACTGCTGAGCCACCCAGGGATCCCTGCTTGTGCTTTCAAATTAAATGTATACTGTTGTTCGTCAAATGGCAAAAAAAAAAAAAAAAAGACAAATATGGTTATTCTACATAGCAGAAATATGGATGAATGTGGCTAGAGAAAAGAGATTACACAACTGCATACTGTTATGTAATTCCCTTGTGCGCCTCTATACTTCTCTGTGTCCTGGGAGGCTGACCTGTATTGGCTGCATTAATAGACTCCCTTACTTGACCCCATTTTCAGTTGGTTCAGCCACATGCAAGAAATGAAAAGGAGGCAAGTAAAGGATATTTACTCCACTGGGACTCTCTTTGCAGCAAGACCCTGTGTCACCTCTGTCCTTCAATCCTGGTCACAATGCCTGTCAGAGGCCTTCTCTCCACTCAGATCTCTTTGTCTCTGGGTTCAGGACTAAGTTTTACTGCTTTGAGTCCCAGGGTATAGCACTATCCTTTGTAGTTTCTCTATATGCCAATTTATAACTTGTAAACAATCCCCTTTTGATTTTCTTACTGGAACCCTGACTGATAAACATGTTGAACCAATGTACTTCTGGGATATGACCATAGATTCCACAAAAGCACCACACTTCCCCAATAAATTCACTTTCCCATTCCCCCATGATTATTTCATAGAGTCTGCCTCTCTCTCAAAACACCACCAACTCCTTTGAACTTCCTCATCTTCTTGTTCACCACATGTCCTTGCTGATCTGTATCCATACTCATATATTGTCTTCCTTCTGTTGCTACAGATAAAACTCCAGGCTCCTATCTATGACTATTCCCTCTACTTGTTTCACACAAAGACATTGTCACCTCTCTCCCTTGTAATTATCAGGGAGATATCAGATATAACTCCCTTATGTTATTAGTATTTTCTCACTCTCCTAGATTATTTCTACCGGTATACAAACTGATGCAATATCTTTCATCTTTTAAACAGACAGATAAATTCTCTTCCATAATCTCACTGCAGTTATTGTCCTATTTTTCTACTCCTCAAAACAAAATTCTTTCAAAGAGTTGTTTAAATCAGCAATGTCCAGGAACACCTGGGTGGCTCAGCAGTTGAGGGTCTGTCTTCAGCTCAGGTCGTGATCCCAGGATCCTGGGATTAAGTCCTGTATCCGGCCCCTTCTCCCTCCGCCTTTGTCTTTGCCTCTCTCCCTGTGTTTCTAATGAATAAATAAATAAAATATTTTTTAAAAACTTGTAAAATCACAGTATTTGTGAAGCACAATAAAGTAAATGCAGTAGGGATGCCTTGGTGGCTCAGTGGTTGAGCATCTGCCTTTGGCTCAGGTCATGATCCCGGGGTCTTGAGACTGAGTTCCACATCGAGCTCCCTGAGGAGAGCCTGCTTCTCCCTCTACCCATGTTTCTGCCTCTCTCTGTGTGTCTCTCATGAACAAATAAAATATTTAAATATTATTTTATTAAAAATAATATAATACAAAAAAATAAATAAATAAATCAGCAATGTCCAATAGAAATACAATGTAAGCCACATATTAAAATTTTCCAGTAGCTACCTTTAAAAAATAGATTTAATGATTAAAACAAAATAAGAATAATTGCTCTATTTATTGACCAATTACTACATGCCAGATATCCTAATAAACATTTTACAGATATTATCTTAATCTGATTGTAAAACTTGTTAAAAAAAAAAAAAGAGGATGAAACCCATTTTACAAATTTTTAAGACCAAATGTCATGCTGAATCACTAGGTTATATTGCAAAAAGAAAAAAAAAAGTAAATATCTATAATTAAATTTAGTAATATATTTAATATAACCCATTGCATCTAAAATATCATTTCAACATGTACCCAATATAAAAATTATTAATGAGATGCTTTAATTTTTTGTATCAAATCTTCAAAATCTGGTATATATTTTATACTTACAGCACATCTTCATTCAGAGCAGTCTTATGTAGCTAGTGGGTACATTTCATTACTGGACAGCCCAGGTCTAGACTCATCTCTCTCCCCATCTTTTAGGCCTACTATTCCCTCGTGAAACCACTGCAATGCTTTCATCCCAACTACTCTATGAAGTAGCTTTTGTCAAAGATATCAGTAGCTTCCATGTTACCAATTCCAATGGTCAGTTCTCAGTCTTAATCTTCTTCACTCTCTCTCAGAAGAATTTAATTCAGTTAATCATACCCTCCATGAAAGACTGCGTACTCATGATTTCCAGGACCCATACTGCTGGCTTTCCTTCTACATCAGTCATGTGCAGTCTCTTTTGCTGGTTCCTCCTCTTCTGGTCAGCCTCTAGATATTGAATACCCAAAACGCAGTCCTTGGGCATCTTTCCTATCTACAATCACAATCCCACCCTCAAGATAATCCTATCCTGTCCTATGGTTTCAAATACACTAATGATTCTCAAATTCACAGCTCCAATCCTGACTCCCAGTATATAATCAATACTGCACTTGGATTTCCAACAGGTTTCTCAGACTTAGTAGATCTAGAATTCAATTCTTGTTCCCATCTTATTCTGCCTTGTCTTTCCATCTCAGTAAATGCCAAGGCCATTTGTACAGTTGCCCAGGTCAAAAATCTTTGTAGTTATCCTTGACTTTATTTCTCTCACACTCCACAACCAGTCCCTGGCCAAATTCCATTATTTTCTATCTCCAACACACCCCAAATCCCACCAGCAACAATGCCACCATCATGGCCCAAGCAGCTATCATTTTCCTCCTAGATTACTGTAGTCTTCTGACTGATTTCCCTGCTCCGCCCTTACTTCCTTTCTATTTTCCTTTCAAAATATAAATAAGATTACATCACAAACACTCCAAAGATGACTCTTCACCCTTAGAATAAAACTCAAAGTTCTGGTCATGAGTTTCAAGGGCCCAGATAACTTGTTCCCCAGCTACTCCTGTGATCGCATCATAGTGCTCATTTCCCTCTGAGGATACTGACTCAACAATATTCCTAGAACACATCAGACACGTTCCCACCACAGTAACTTCATATTTGCTATTCCTTCTCCTCTTAAAGCTCTTCTCCAGATCTTCACAAAACCTCCTTCCTACTTTCACCTACTTTCACTTGAGGCTTTTCTTTGCTTAAATGCCACTTCCTCAGAAGGGCCATCCTGGATCTCCTTATTTAAAAGGGCACTCAATAATCACACCTCTATCCTTTATTTCACTTGCACTGATCTCCAGCACAACATATCATGATCCATCTAAGAGAATAGTTCTTTTCCGTCACATATTTGAGCATGGCACTGAGTAAAAAGGATAGTAAATCATTTGTAGAGAGATTATATGAAGTAGTTGAAAGAAATGGTGAGAGCCGCTCATTGGGCTACTTGTGACTCTCTGAGGTCCGAAAGTCCAAAAAAATAAGATGGAATTTCTGGAAACAAGATGAAAACAACAACTTACTTGAGACATGGCTTTACAAAGTCCAACAGCCATTCTTCCTTCCTTCTTCAATCTTCTCTTTAGGAGAACAATGTCCTGAAAAGGGACAATTAAAGGGGAAAAAATGGCAAACCAGCCTATGTTGCTGATCTGAGATTCACAAAGATAGAACTCTTATTCTATAAGGTCTCTACTGCCTCCTGACATGGGCCAGCCCTACCACTTCCAAGATCTGAGAAAAGGTCAAAGCTGAATTTTAGCCCTGAAGTCCTGACCTATATTAAGAACATGTAGCCTAAACTCAATAATAATCTAAATGGCCAACAAGGTGGTTTATGATCTGGTCCCTAGCTGTCTCTCATTCCCTACCCTTAATCTCCTTGCTCACCCTACTCCAGGAACACAGGGTTTCCTTACAGTTCCTCAAACACTGTGCACTCCTTCTTCAAGGCTGTTGCCTTCACTCCCTCTCTTCATTCCTATTTGTGCTCAAAATTTTTAAAGATTTTATTTATTTATTCACGAGAGACAGAGAGAGACACAGGCAGAGGGAGAAGCAGGCTCCATGCAGATAGCCCGACGTGGGACTCAATCCTGGGTCTTCAGAATCACATCCTGGGCTGAAGGTGGCGCTAAACTGCTGAGCATAACCCAGGCTGCCCTTATTGTCCCCATCTTACCAAGTAAAACTAAAGTGCAAAAAATTTAAACAACTAACTCAAAGTCATAAGAGTCAAAATGCAATGAGACTCAAAAACTGGCCCCCTTTCAAGAGCCTACAATGTCTGAATGGGAAATATTTAACATAACCTGAGGAACCAATGCCACATATTTACTAACGAAACCTCTTCAGAGCTGGCAGATGTTACCTTTATTATCTCACAGAAATACAGCTTGAGGCAGGCATTGCTAAATTTTAATACAAACCAATAACATATTGCTCCTTGTCCTCTCAGAGCCAACATTTCTTCATTCTGAAAGTGAAGATTGTTGTGTTTGACCTAGAATTTAGGATCTACAACCCCCTAATTCTGGGCTACTCTGCACGAGCCAACTCAGTGTCTAAGAGAGTTATTTCATTAGTGCAATGCAGCTTGAAATTGTCCATAAAAGCCTTTGCAACCTGAGAGAAGAATCGATGAAGTCTTTCTGCATCTGGAAACCCTGCATAGCATCTGCATAAAAGAAACGTCTTTTAAATTTCTGTTTGCAAAGCTGTGTATCACTTGAGCAATACCTTCCCAAGTTTAAGATGAACATCAGTCTCTGAAGAAAGTGATGTTAAAGACTTGAGTTTTATACAGCCCCCAGGTACATGCCCCCAGGCAATGACTTTCCATTCCTTCAGTCATTGGCTACATGACCTTGAGCAAGTTACTCCATCTCTCAGAACCTTTCTTTCTTCATTGCCGAGACTGCATGAGTCAATTCCTGGCAGAGAGAAGTGCTACCTTTGTTCCCATTTGCATTCTATACACACTTTTGGAAAGGAAGTGAGAGTATTTTTCTTTATTAATGGAGAAAGTCAGAACCAAAATTTAGCTCACTTGGTACGTGAGAAAAAAGAGCCATGGATCAGCCTTTCTCAGCACCAAACATGATGAGTTTTAATAAAGACAAAGCTAAAACCTCAAACTCCTTGGGCTTTCAGATTAAGCTTTCCTCCAGAGGCAGTCAATTTGAGGACAGTCTCACTAGAATGTCTTTAGCCTGGATCCTGTGACTCACTCACAAGGACAATGAAGGAAGAGGCCCATATCAAGATCCCATATCCTGGAGGCTCCTAGTCCAAGACCAGGGACAATTCTCTCCAAAACCCTTAGAACCCAGGGCCCCCACTTTTCACTCTCACACTATAGGAAAGATCAAGAAAGCTTAATAATTAAAAGCAAGGACTCTGGAGCCAAAACGCCTAGGTTCGAGACCCCATTCTACCACTAATTAACTGTCTGAACTTGGGCAAGTAATTTTAATCTTTCTATGCCCACAGTCACACACAATCAAGCCTGTGGTCTCATAAACACATAAAAGTTCTCACGCGGTCACACACATACATGGTATATGGTCCCACAAATTCACATGTAATGTCAAATATCTATGCAGTGGCAGTAACGCAGACAGAGATGACGACACACAATTACTCCAACAGGGAGATTGTTCCACACAATGTCACAGAGTGTGAACCACACAAAGTCACACACCCTGTCATCATTACTCATACAAATGTATACCTGCTGAGATAAGATGGACACGGGTACACAAGCACACCTGCTGTCACACACATTCAAACACTGTACTATCTACAGAGACAGGTGGTCAAACGCAATCACCCACATTCATACAGCGACACACACAATGTCACACCCGCAGTCAAACGCAATGTCAAACGCATATACAGTAGCACAGTTGTACCTGCAGAGAAACAGTTTTATAGCCGAGACATATAGTCTCACATAAGCACACACGCGGTGACACACAAGATCACATTCTGTCACACGGCGGCCTCTCACGTAACCCGAGGCACCCACCCTGGTCCCATCCCTGTCCCTGCCGGTGCCCCCGAAGCCCGGCCCTGACCTTTGGCGCCCGCGCGCAGCCAGGCCCAACTCACCTCCCGGCGCCCCGGGCTCTGGAAAGCCGCCCAGACACTCGAGACCCGCGACGCCCCCCTCCCCCAGAATCCCCCGCAGGGCGAAGCAGAGCAAGGACTGAGGCGCGCGGGACCCCGAATTCTGCTGGGGAAACATCCAGCTGGACTGGAAGCCGCTCAGGTTTTCCTTCCGACCCCGGGAACCACGAGTCCCAGAGTGCTTTGCGCCGCCGCCTTCTTTGCTGAACTACATTTCCCAGAGGACCCTCAAGGCCCGCCTCGACTCCGCGCCTGCGCAGGCGGCCGGGACCGGGGCGTGTGAGTACCGAGCTGGCTGGTCTCGTAGTAGGTCTCGGGCGCTCAAGTGGCCGTGCGCGGCTGTTGTGAGCAAACCGTGAGGCTCCGCGTGTCCGTGACTCTTACTGAATGCTCAGGTGTGACGATCTGTGTGTGACCGGCGCTGCGCACCACCGGGCAAAGATTTCTGTCCCGTGCAGTGAGCTTCTGTACTTAGGATCATGTCCCGTGATTCTGGGTCGTTGCGTGACGCCGAGGATGTGAGAGTGTTTGTGGGTTTGCGAGAGGTATTAGACTGACTTTGGGCAACCATGCTTTGTGTTCTTTCCCCAGAGGTCGAAGGATTTTACCTACGACACGTGGTGGGGCTGTATTTGTTTCTGGGCTTCCCCGCAGTGTGGAGCCGGTGGGAGAGGTTTCACCATCCCTCCCCCCCCGGCAGTGGGCCGGGTCACTGTTACCTTCGCTTTGAGATCCCTTCTCTACTTGGACCCAGTGTGATACCGCAGAAGGGTAATTAGATTCCGTTTGTTGGGAAGACGCTCGTTTGCCCCCAAGCTCTTCATAATATTGATAATCCGCTGGAGCTCTGGGGGTTCTCTGGGTGTTGCTCCCACCTTTTCTCTATACAACTTCAATTAGTGCCCAGCTTCAAGAAAACTACCCACCGTCAGGAGGACAGCCATGTGAGCCCCTGAATGATGTGAAAGAAAACCAGAGCTGAACAGTAGTTAAAAGAGGTTGAAATATATATATTTTTTATTCGGGAACAATTGCAATAGGGGAGAAGAAACTTCAGCAAAGAATTGGGTTCAGTTCCAAATGCAGCAAAAACTAGTAGGGTTTACATGCAAGGAACAAATCGGTGGGGGTGAGAGGGGTAGTCCATGGATAGAAAATTAAGACTCAAGGGTAGGGGGAAATTCTTGCTAGACTGACCAACAGAATTCTTGCTGAGGGCAGTCCAAGGAGATCAGATATGGCCTGGATGCATAAGGGATTTAATTAGATATTGAGAGTGGTCAGCTATCAAGGGCTCTGGCTAAACTGAGTTGACAAAATTCTTGCTAAAACTGGGTAATGCAAAGACAGACACTGAAACCCCAAGGATGAAGCGCCTAGTTGAGAAGAGGATGCAGAGGAGCCTAACTAAAATTTGATCAAGGAGAACGTATTTAACAGTTAAAATTCTGAACAAAGCAATATTCTTCCCTATCCCCAGACCCTGGAAGATCTAAAAGGTGCCCTGAAAAAAATAAAAAATAAAAATAAAAGGTGCCCTGAAGTCAGGATCTTGGTAGTGGTATGTGGATGCAAGGGGGAAGTTCTTGAAATGAAAACCAATCTTTGGAGAATAATCCCTCCAATCCCCTCCCCACAAAGAGATGTCTAATAGCTAAAGCCTGAGAGTCTTAGACAAACGGAGTCTGGCTAATAAGGCTGATGTGATTTGCTGTTTATTCTGTGAAATTGGGCATTGTTACTTTCAGAATAAGGCAAACACTTTTTTTTTTTAAGGCTCTACAAACATTTAAAAGTGGGGTCGCTTAATGGGGAAATGTACTAGGTAAGTGTTCTTTGGATGATAATTATGGTTTTCTTCTTGACATCAAACAGCCCTTCCCTGGATTTGATTATCAGTGAAGGTTAGAGATCATCTTGGACATTTCATGGACTAAAAAGCTAGAAATTTAAGACAGTCCATTCGTAACTGGCATAGTTCACTTTCAGCGAAACTTTGAATGTGTACGACTATCTCTTCATATGTCAGTAATTGATCATAGGAATATTTTTGTCCTTTGTTTATTCTCCTTCTCTCATGCCACCAAGTCCAACACTGTTTTGAGTCTAGTCATCTCCCGTACAGCAGGACAGTGGTCCTCAAAGCATGCCAATTGGGTAAGTGGTTGTGCCGCTAAAACAAATTCTGGTAGGACTATGTCCATCAGGATATAGTCAAAAAGGCAGAACTACACTGGCATTTCCAAACAGAATATTTAATTACAGGAAATTGTACACTGTTGAATGAATTAAGAGCAAAAAGGGGACAGATTTGTAACTTCAAGAAACAGCTTACACCACAGGACTTGAGGAAGAAAGGGGAAGCGATGGATTTACTAGAACTTAAGAGCTCTGAAAAGTAGTCTCAGCCTGGCTGTTAACTGGATTTAGTCATCTGGTGCTGGGAAAGCAAAAAGATTTTGCAGCCAAGCATAGCCCTCCTCTGCTGCTAGAGATAATGAAAGAACTGGAAAATAGAAAGTGAGTTCCTTTTCCATTTCTTCCTTCCACCCTCCCATTTATGCCTCCATTGGCAAACTATAAAAGAGGCAATGGAGACTGAGAAATGTCTTTGTCAGAGACCTAGCTCCAGTATCACAGAATAGAGAAAGGCATGTTTGAAACTGAAACAATGAGAGGGAAATGATTGATATATGATCCTTTTTCAATTTGCTGGAAAGTAAGTTAATTCATATAATTTTCCAAGTTTATTTTTCTTCTCAGAAACTTTTTTAACAGGGATCCCTGGGTGGCGCAGCGGTTTGGCGCCTGCCTTTGGCCCAGGGCGCGATCCTGGAGACCCGGGATCGAATCCCACATCGGGCTTCCGGTGCATGGAGCCTGCTTCTCCCTCTGCCTGTGTCTCTGCCTCTCTCTCTCTCTGTGACTATCATAAATAAATTTTTTAAAAAAGAAACTTTTTTAACAATGTTAGCAATTCTTACAAGAGAATCCTATTATATGAGCAAAAAATGGTGCATATTTTATAACAAAGCATCTTAATAAAAAAAGCAATTCAAATTCTGAAATAGCTATCATCTAGTTTAATATGTAGTTATTTGGAGGAACTCATTTTTTACCTATCTTGTAACTTTGATAATAAATATAGATTTATACATTTTCTTTTTTTTATTTTTAAGATTTTATTTATTTATTCATAGAGACACAGCTAGAGAGAGAGGCAGAGGCACAGGCAGATGGAGAAGCAGGCTCCATGCAGGGAGCCCCACATGGGACTCGATCCCGGGTCTTTAGGATCATGCCCTGGGCTGAAGGCGGCACTAAACCGCTAAGCCACCGGGGCTGCCCAGATTTATACATTTTCTAACTTTGTGTTGTCTAATGCAAATATTTCATGGTGAATCACTAACTGTACCCATGACTTAACAGTTCTCATTATCCTAACACGTGTAAGAATAAGAATCATGGTATGTGATTTTTTATTTATTTATTTTTTTGGTATGTGATTTTTTAAAATAAATTATTAGGTATATTAATTATCTCTTTTTTTAAAGATTTGTTTATTGATTGATTGATTGATTGACTGATTTAATGAGAAAGAGAGAGAGGGGCAGAGACACAGGAGGAGGGAGAAGCAGGCTCCATGCCGGGAGCCCAATGTGGGACTCGATGTGGGACTCGATCCCGTGCTCCAGGATCGCGCCCTGGGCCAAAGGCAGGCGCTAAACCACTGAGCCACCCAGGGATCCCCTAATTATCTCTTTTTTAAATTGAGATATACCTGACATATTATTTTCAGGAGTACAACATAATGATTCAATACTTGTGATATATTGTGAAATGATCACCCCAATTAATCTAATTAACATCCATCACTATACATCATAAAAGTTCTTTCAGGACACCTGGGTGGCTCAGCCATTGAGCATCTCTGCCTTTGGCCCATGGCACGATCCCAGAATCCTAGGATCAACGTCCACATTGGGCTTCCTGCATGGAGCCTGCTTCTCCCTCTGCCTATGTATGTCTCTGCCTGTCTCTCTGTGTGTGTCTCTCGTGAATAAATAAATAAAATCTTTTTTAAAAAGTTTTTTTTTTCTTGTGATGAGAACTTTTAACTCTTACCAACTTTCAAATATGCAATATAGTATTATTAACTATAGTCACTATGCTTTACATTACATCCCCATGATTTATTTTTTTTAAAGATTTTATTTATTTATTCATGAGAGACAGAGAGAGAGAGAGAGAGAGAGAGAGAGAGAGAGGCAGAGACACAGACAGAGGAGAAGCAGAAAGCCCGATGCTGGACTCAATCCTGGGACCCCAGGATCATGCCCTGGGCCAAGGGCAGGCTCCAAACCGCTGAGCCACCCAGGGATCCTCCATGATTTATTTTATAATTGGAAGTTTGTACCTTTTGACCCTCTTCACCTATTTCACCTATACCCCCTATCCCACCTCTGGCAACCACCAATCTGTTCTGTATCTTTGATGTGGGATTTTTTTTAACTTTTAATTTTTAAGAAATTTTTTTCAAAGCCCAGTGTGGTGCTTGACTCACAACCCCAAGAGTTCCATGCTGTACTAAATGAGCTAGCTAGGCGCCCCTCTTTTGGTGAGCTTTTTTAGTTTCTTATTTGAAGGCAGTCATTCTGAATTAAGAATAAAATAAAATTGAGGGGACATGTGGTTGCCTCAGTCAGTTGAGTCTGGCTCTTGATTTCAGCTCAGGTCCTGATCTCAGGGTCCTGGGATCAAGCCCTGTGTCGGGCTCTGTGTCAGTGCCGTTAGCTTAAGGATTCTCTCCCTCTGCCCCTCTCCCCACTTCTGAGTGCATGTCTGCACACATGCTCTCTCTCTCTCTCTAAAATAAATAAATAAAATGTTTAAAAATAAATAAAATTGGGAATGAAGAAACCAAGAATTATTTCTTGTCTTAGTTATTTTGATTGGTCACCCATATTCTTTACAATAGAATGTTCTTTTATAACCTTGCCTAGGGAAGGATAAAGCACAATTTTACCAGGGCTTACTCAGGACTGCTTATTGAGGCATTTGGAAGGAGTCCATAACCCACTATTAATGCTAGTGAAGAACCTCCTCACACCATAATTCATGAATGTCAAATCCAGATAAATAAAAAAAAC